ATTGTAAAATTCAATTTAGGACTACTAGTTCCTCTTCGGAGCTTTTAAGTTGTACCAAATTATCATTTTGCATCATGAATTTCAATTTTGGACACACTACATCTTAAGCGCTCAAATCTATCATACTTAAGTCCAATCCTCAACACTGTAACTAAAACTAATGCAAGTAAGGAATGTGCAAACAATGCATCAATATAACTATTACACAGTAAAAAGTAGAAAAAATAGAGAAGAGGAACTTTCCCTCCTTTTGTCAATTCCAGTTTCGATCTTAAGGCAAAATAAAATTCCCCAACAAAGGAAAAGAACCCAAAAAAAAAAAAAAAAAAGGGAACCCTTTCGGCAAGAATAAATCCAAACCTAAACCTGGAAGATGATTCTGGAGATGTGTCAAACATTCGTTTAATAAAATGAATCAGTCCTTTGTATTTGGACGATTAGAGCCAGTAATTCCTCAAATTGACGCTCATTGTTGGAGTATATTTTTGTTTGCTATAGCAACCTGAAGATTCCAAATTTTTCCAGTTGATTGACCCCAAACTATGCCCTGGATGTAATGAATTGATTGCTGAACTCCATGGGTAAGAAGGACGATGAAATAGCTAAATTACAATTGAACAATAAGAGCTTCCGGTTGAAGAAGTACAATAAGCTGCTGTTGCTAATGATTTATTAGGTATTAATTTTTGATTGTTTATAGTGAAAAAGGCAAGAAATGAACAATATGGAGATACCTGAGTAATGGATAATGAAGACTTCCTTACTTCCATTAATTTTTTTCCTTCCTTACAATATGAACAATTAGACTCAAATAGTGTTTTCAAAATTGAAATTTAGGTTACAAAATCCGAATTCAATACATGTTAATGGGTGTGAAGTGTAATTAATCCTTCAACATACTAGTTGGACTAGATGACTTTTCTCCTGTAACAATTCAACTGCATTTTTATACCCAACATGCCTGTATCAGGCAGCCGTCAGTGAAGGTGAAGGCGCAATCTTTCTAGGTAGGGGCTTATCGCATTCCTCCAGAAGGGAACAGGGAATATTAGATGGCTCCATCATAGGAGACTGAGAGGAAAAATATAACAAAAAAAATGCCAGAAGAAGAAGAAGAAAGACCAATTTTTTCATGCACCTTGTAATTAGCTATGATAGTTAATTGGTAACTTTAGGGGTAAATCTTGCTGATAAAATAAACTTTGAGGTTAAAATGCAAAACCTCCCTAAGTACAGAACTTTTTTGCATCAAAACCAAACAGGGCAAACATTTGACAATAAATGTAACATGAATTTGGTGACTATCATAATACAAATGTAGCGGCCTTAGTTACCTACCAAAGGTAATATTAAACCTGAAAAATGTAAAATTAATCAAGAACCTCAAAGGAAAAAAAAAAAAGCAATAAATACCCACGTAAAAATAGACTATGGTAAATCATCCATGTACATTACAATATCAATTGCAGTCAATTTCTCGAACAGCTTTGTCAGCCAAACCGATAGTAATGTTGCAATTTAGGTTTGTGGATTTCTTCTTCTTGAACATGAACGTTAGAGTCACCTTTCCGCTCAATTGGGATTGAGCATTCAACTTCAAGACTCCAGAGTTGAGATCATTTCCGAGTTGCGAATTGGTAGGCAAATTGTTTGATAAGAGTACTGTGGCTAGATTTTTTAGCTTCTTGGTTGACAGCCATCCAGCTTTACCATCAGGAACAAAGGCCTCCCCAATTGGCATGCCATCATAGGAGAAATACATCTTGCTCTCTTGGAACTTGTACGTTCCAAAATTCTTGTTTTTCACACCAACCTCGACACTTGCAATAAAATTAAACGAAGGATTCGGAGCTGTACGAACTTCAAAGTGATCGAAAGTTATTGATCTTACCCCAAATTTGGGAGTTTTTATCTTCATGACGGTTAGAGAAAACAGCACTATGACGCCAGTTTGGAACACAACGAAGGCAACAAAATATGCAAGGTATTTCAAACGCTTTTTGCGACGAATCTCATCTGACTCTATTGAATCCGACCCTTCGTCCCTCGTGACGTTGAGACTCGCATTGTAATTGCGATGAATCTCGTCCTGCTTTCTGAAAGCGGACTCTTCATCACGCTTCACATTAAAATCTGTGCTGTAATTGTAACTTTGAGACAATGGATAAACTTGTGGATCATTTCTCCTCTCAGCCATTTGAAGTACTGTATAACGAGAGGTTTTCGACTAAAAATTCTTGTGCTTGAATTTGTCTTAAGATGAAAGTTTTGTGGAGATCTAAGCTTAATACCCTGGTATATATAGGGCATACACAAATAATCTGCTTACAATAATTGGTACTTAGATATATTAGTTTGATGGGGTCGGAAAGTTGAAAGCATAATCGTCGTCAGATCAACTTTCTTGTAAGTGACTCAGTCTTTTTGCGTCAGTTTTAGTTAAATAACAAAATCTAAGATTACTACTAAATTATCAAGTAAATATGCGATTTTGTCTAGTTTCTTAATTCTAATAATTGACAAATATCCCTGAAACTACTCAATCTCAGATCGCAACGGATCTCCTGTCCCACACCCTGTGCCACTCTCTGTCCCACTTTTTATTATATTGTTATTTTTTCTTCATAAATATCATGTTTTAATTCTTTTTTGCTTCCTTAAAATCCAATAACTATTAATTGAGTAATACACAAAATTTAACAAACTCAAAAAATCAAAATGCATAAAAAATTAGATTTTTTATGAATTTTCTGCTATATTTTTTAATTTTTTATTATATATTACTTTTTTGAAGCTGTTGTATTTATTTTTTACTTAATTAATAGTTATTGGATCTTAAGGAAACAAAAAAAATAATAAAACATGATGTTTATGTAAGAAAAATAGCAATATAATAAAAAGTGGGATAGAGAGTGGCACAGGGTGTGGGACAGAAGATCCGTTGCGATCTCCGATACACATTTAGAACTATATTTGCCTGAATTAAGCTTTTAAAAAAAAGTTATATTTTCTCATTCATATATTATTCGATTATTGCTAGTGTACAAAGTCGTAAATTTGAAATCATGACCACTTAACTGCAAATATTTTTCACAAAAAAAAAAAAAAAACTCAACTATGTTCATATGAAGCCTAGTATTGCGGTTAGTCGGGCCGAAAACCCGGATACCCCCTATGTCGAAAAAAAAAAAAAAAAAAAAAAAAAAAAAAGACTAGTATTGCTTTCTCTAAAAATTGACTATTCGCTTAAATTTGACCATTGCCCCGATTTGCAGCCGTACAACGGCTAATAAGTCAGCTTTCCTTCGGTTTTTGTTTAATTGATAGAATGGGTCAGTTCTTTCCAGTATTTATTTATTTATTTCAGTGAAAATAGTTGGCGCAAGCGTCATATGCATTACCTGTTGCAATCATTGACTGAACGAAAGCATAACTATGTGACTTAGGCTTAGTAATGAGAGCCTTAATACTAGTTAACATCACATATAGTTTTTCTAATAAATTTGGGAATTTATTGAAAATCCAGATGTGTTTTCTTGGTCGTAGTGTATATAAGAAAGATAATATAATTCAGAAAAATAGAAAATTACTTAAGAAGAACACAACAAGTACAGTAAGGAAATAGGATTTTTATCTGAATACCGTCTGTTAACCAATTTTTCGGAAATTCTGTTTCCGATAATTGAACACCATTATAGGTACATTTAATATGCATTTCTCTATTCCATCCCTCTAGATCCTCAGACCATTCCGGAAATTGGAATAATATCATACGTACAATATTTTTGCCTATTATTAATACAGGTAAACGAATATATTTTCTAAAAAAAGATTGACTTATTAACATGGAACCTCTTATTACTTGTGCAAAAGGAATGGTATCAATTAGAAGGCAATTAAAATTGCTTTGTGGTAGATTAATTCTTGATGTCAAGAAATATTATGGTAAAATTCATCAATTTTAGTTTGATTTCTGATTCAGAAAAGAAAAAAAAGGTTAGTTGGCAAAGCCAAGATTACAATATGGGAGCTAGTTGAGAATTAAACATTTGGAAAGGCATAGTGCAGTAAGTTAACACACTTTGAAGGGACAAAGTATACATATATTGGCACATACGATAACGTTTTTTTTTTCCTAATGTAAGACCTCTACATTGATGTTTCACTAATACCTTTAATCAAAAAGCTAAAATGGCAATAAATTGTGGAATTATAACAAGTACGAATTATTTAGGTCAAGGATATTATTAAAAAAACCTAAATCACCAAATTAACCTATCACTTTTAATATAACATAAAGTATAATGTCATAGAATATAATATAACATTATATATATATATATATATATATAGATATACATATATTCTTTGCTTTTCCACCAAGTGTAGGGGTCAATGCCTTAGCGGTTGTCCCATGTCCCTCCACCTCTAGCTCCATTGGCTAGGGCAAATTGATGAAAGCATAATTTCAAAATATTTTCTTCAATTTCTCCCTTTTTGGACTCAAAAAAAAATTTCTCCCTTTCCTTTTTTATTTTTCAAAAAGAAAGAAATTCTGTTTGTCAACTGGCATGTCTAATGTCAAAAAGATTCATCAATTCGCTGACCATTTCGGATTTACAGATTTGGATTTCACAAAGAATTTCATATGAATGATTTGCAGATGAATAGATCTAAAGTTTTGCTTAATTGAATTATCTTGTTTAGCAAATAAAGTCAAAATTCAAAATAATTTAAAATGCTTTGTCGTTTTCGTTTTCGTAGAAACGCAAAATGGTTGAGGCATATACACAAAAGCCTCGTTTATAATAGGAATATTATCGGTAACATAAGGGTTTTTCTTTTTGTTATAATACTTGATTTTAGATTTTGATTTGAATAATTGATTTCTTTGGTGTAATTCTTGTTTCCTTTTGCATCTAAAGTTTGGGTTTTAAAAATTACGAAAGTTAAAATCTATAACCTACTCAAGAATAATTTTAATTTATTTTTTTTCATAATCACCTTTCATAATCAACTTTAGCAAACTCTACATCAAGCAAGGCAGGCCCAAAAACATGTACATCAAGAACCAGCCCAAAAGTCACAGACAAAACAATTTTGGTAACAAAGCCCCCCAAAAGCTTCGGAAAAGAAACTACAAAATCCTGAAATCAAAGGCAGCTAAAAATAGTGAACAATCTTTAAGAGGAAAAGCTTGAATACAATTTCAAGATAAAGTTAGAGTACGGTGGATCATCCATATAGGTTCTAATCTCAATTGCAATTAATATCTCGAACTGCTCTGTGAGCCAAATCAATAGTAATGATGCAGTCCATGTTTGTGGATTTCTTCTTCTTGAACATAAACGTCAAAGTCACCTTTCCACTCAATTTGGATTGAGCATTCAATTTCAAAACTCCAGTGCTGAGATCGTTTCCTAGTTGTGAATTGCTAGCCAAATTGTTTGACGAGAGGTCCACCACAACATTGAGCTTCTTAGTCGACAGCCATCCTGCTTTGCTATTAGGAACCAAGGTCTCCCCAATTGGTGTGCCATTGTAGGAAAAATATATTGTGCTGTTTTGGAACTTATAAGTTCCAAAATTGTTGTTTCTCACGCCAAGCTCAGCATTCATCCTGTAATTAAACGAAGGATTTGTAGTCGTACCAGCATCAAAAGTCTCGAAAGCCGATGATCGGACCCGAAATTTAGGGGTTCTTATTTTCATTATCGTCAGAGAAAACAACACAATGATGCCAGTTTGAAACACAACAAAGGCGGCAAAATATGCAAGGTACTTGAGACGCTTCTTGCGACGAATCTCGTCCGAGTCACTGGAAGCGGACTCTTGGTCACGCTTAACATTAAAAGCTGTGTTATAAGTATAACTTTGAGGCAAGGGATGGACTTGTTGATCATTCCTTCTCTCAGCCATTTCTATATTATATAGCAGGAAAGAATGGAGCAGAATTTGCAGTGTTTAATTTTGTTTGAGATGAAGGTATTGTCGAGATCTAAGCTTAATCCACCGGTGTGTATATATAGAACATAGGATACATTATCTAACACTGATAAGTATTAGTTGGAATTGGTCATGTAGGATGCACTGCCGTGCAAGTGAGAATTTCAAAGTTGCTCAGTCTTTTTTGCTACATATATTAAATTAAATAAGTTGAACTTATATACACTATCAAAGTTGGATGTATAATGCATAGGATTAATCTTATATACACTATCAGTGTGTACACTATCACCATTAGATATATGATACATGAGCAAAATTTGAATTTGAAATGCAAATGTCATCCATTCAACCGTGATATTGTATACACTGGTAATATATATAAAATTTACTCTAATGTATATGTAAAATTTTGATTTTAAATTTATATTTATATTATTTGTCGTACATCCAACAGTAGAAGTGTAGTATAACCTCTTTTTTTATAGATACACTTTTTTATTTTTCCAGGTGTATCTTTTGGTCATTTTTAATTATAAATCTACATCTAAAACTACAAGTTTTTAGATTGGCGTGTGAGTTTATCAAGCTTCTTAGTTTTATATTTTTTCCTCCTAAAATTTCTTTTTTCTCAAATAGATATTAAATGAATGTACGCTTTCTCAACAATATATCTCGATTGAGCTTTTGACCTTTTTTTTTTTTTACTAATACATTTTTTTTATATAGAAAATATCATTTCGTTCAATAAATCTGCATTAATGGCAAAAAATACATCAAACAAACATGACACAAATACATATAGAACTGAAATTAATAGATATAACAGATCTAATAAATCAATACAAATAAAGATAACATTGATACTCTTGTATGTCTTTCATCCAAATGAATCATTGTAATCCAATACATTTGTGCTTGTCTTCTAACGGTCATGTGTAATTAAAACTAATTCAAGTCCAAAGAGAAATTTAGATTTGACAATAATGGAGAAATTGAAGATTTGAGAAACTTAGATTCTAGATTTTCAAAATATCAAATTCCACGAAAAAAAAGATAAAAACTCTTACAAGGAAAAACCCCATGAGAGAATAAAACCCTCACTAAAATAATACAGGAGAAAAGAAACTCTCACTAAGAGGTCCTAAAAAAGAAGAATCTTTCATTAGGAAATCCTAGGAGATAATTTATTCAAACAAAAGAAAATAAAAATTAAAGAGATTGACTACAAACATGTTGTTAGGATACAAATTTACAAACTAGTAAAATTTGAGCTAATGACCAATAACGTCCATAATCATTGTTGTCTCAATTATTTCCTTGCACTTTCAAAATTGATTCATTCGCTTGATTAATTTGACTGTTGCCCCGATTTTCTGCTATGCAACGACTAACGAGCCACTCTTCTTTAGTATTTAGTAATTAGTTTACTTTCAATAAAAGATCCTTGGTACAGGTGTATACGCAGATCCATTGAAGACGGTGGTTACATAAAAATCTCATCAACCCAGCAAGGTATTGGTTCAGTAGATTAGTGGTTTAACCACGGGTCAACTAATTAAATCAAATAATATATTTATGTTATTATGAAAAGAAAAAAAGAAAGAAAAAAAAAAGCAGTTGAATTGAAAACAGATAGTTTAGTTTAAATCTAATAGGACTCTTCAGAGCCGTTGCAACTGCAAAGTCTTTAACAGTAGGGAGTATCTATTTATCCAAATCTGGAATTTTAATTTAAAAAGAAAAAGAAAGTTTACAAGAGAAAACAAACAAATATCGAATCAAAAAGCTTAACAGATTTAAACGGAAGGGGGAAAAGCAAAAGACGTAAATGTAAGTATCGTGACTACTAATGTTAGGCGGCTATTGGGCTTGATTTTTTGGCTGAATCAGGTACTCTTTTTCTTCATTTTTTTTTTTTGTCTCTCTTCTCTTTCCTCCCCATTCATGGTGGATCTTTGTATATATGATATATATATATATATCTGTAGTTATTTGTTTTAGTATTTTACCTTTTGTAGTTTTGGGAGTGTATTTGCAAGTGTTGCGAATGTGAGGATTAACTTTTCATGGTGAAGTAATTTGTTAAATTTAAGAGAAAACAATGTTGATGAAAGAAACATAATTGAATTAAGACTTTGGATGCTTTTGTTGTGAGTGATCAATTAGGGCTGTAATGATATATTTCACTCCAAAATGGGTTTTGTAGTTCGCATCACCGAAATCTTGGGAACTAAGTTGAAATTCGAAATATTCGAAAACAAAATAACTAAAAAAAAAATGAAGTTCAAACAAAAGTAGTAGGCATGTCAATGGGTAGGGTCTGGGTTGGATCCCTTTAATCCAGATCCAGATCCATTTAACAGGATTGAAATTCTGTTTAGGCTCAAGCATTTCTCATACAAAAAGTAAAGAAAAAGTGAAACAAGGATGGAAAAATAAAGAAAACTAAAACATCTCTTTTATTGAGAAGTAGAAGAATTCAATTCGAGTATTGGCATGGTCATAAGAGGAAGAAATATCTAAAAAGAAATCCAAGAGTTGCATAATCAGTTGTTATGCTGATTTCTTAATAAAGAAATGTTGAAGGTGTTAGGAGGCCATGCACTATGAATCACTGACGATCATAAGCAGCACAACTTAAATTTCATGTGGAAAGTGGCTATTATACCTATGGGTTGAGTATTTCATTTGGAAAGAGGTTTTATATATCTATGGATAGAGTAGTTAGGTTTTAGGAATTCTTTTTTTTTTTTTCAACAACGATACATTTGTATAAGCTATTTTATTCTAAGGAGACTGTGGTAGAAAACTAGTGGATATACTAGGGGTGGCAATTCGGGTCCAAATCAGGTTGGCGGGTCGGGTCTAACCCGACCCGTCAGAAAATATGTTGACCTGAACCTGACCCGCCAACCCGTGACGGGTCAGGTATACTGACCCGAACCCGAAAATTTCAGGTTGACGGGTCGACCCGAAATGACCCGAAACTTAATTTTAATTTATTAATTTATCACTGTAATTTCTAATAAAATTAATTTCTCACAAAACTAATTACATAATCAAGTAATAAAAATTTAAATAAATAATTCCAAATCAAATCTAAAATAAATTAAACACCGTAAAAGTTTTTTATCCCAAACAAAATATAAAATAAATTAAAACAGTATAAAAGTAAAAAATAGTATAATATATTATTTGTCCAAATATAATAATTTCAACTTCACACAAATTAAATAAATTCATTTAGGATTAAGTAATTAATGCCTTTGAAAAAAAGAATAACTTAGTTTAGTTAGATAAAATTATTTTTAATTCGTAAACGGGTCATATCGGGTCATATCAGGTCACCATGGGTTGACCCGAAATCGACCTGTTTTCTTTTCGGGTTCAACCCGATTCTGACCCGAATTCCCGAAACCTCAACCCAAACCCATTAATTTCGTGTTAGGTTCGTGTCGTGTTTTCAGGTCGTGTCGAAAATTGCCACTCCTAGGAACTCCCAACTAAACCAAGGGAGTACTCTGGCACAATTTTTAAATTTTTTTCGCTACAGGTGAGATTTGAACTCTTAACTACAGCCCAAGGAGGGATTTAAGCCCCTCCCTGATGGCCACTGAACCATTAGCCGAGTAGTTAGGTTTTAGGAATTCCAGAAGAATACAAATTGAAAGTTCTATCTATGCATAGAGAGGATGGTTTTTATTGGACACAGATTTCTCTTCTCCTTCTCAATTTCAAGGTACAAACATGGGGTTGTTTTCAAACTGCCAAGATAACGTGGCAAACTTTAGACCGTTCGGTCTACAGGTGGGCTCGTTGACCGAGCGTACACAAGTTTTTGACGTCTAGGACTAACGGACACGACTCTGGTTAAATCCTCAGCGGCTTCCTTTTATTTTCGCGACACAGAATCAAGAGAAAAACCAAAACAGCAGTTACCTTCCAAAGACTGAAGAGAAAACCAGAATAAATCTTTTATTTCCCCCATTGGAGCCCTCTTCAAATTCGGTTTCTTATGTCTTACCAAAATCCGTAAAACCACCACGTGAGGGTTCAATGATCCTCTCTCCTTTCTGGGTTCCTTTTTTTTTTTTAGTTTTTGTTTAAAATTGTTGATGATTACGATTGTATTGCAGGTTCCGAAGATAAGAGAGAGTATGAAAATGAACTTGACGATGCTGTTCGTCACTTAAGTTTTTTGGCTTCAATTTGTATCGATGGGGAATGTAGTTGGCTCAGTCCTCGGTGGAGTTTCTGAAGTTTTAGGGAAACTTTTAGGCCATCCACTTGATTTCCTATCTGGCAAATCTTGCAGGTAAAATTGAACGAGACCATATGATATTTCAGTTCATTTTATCATTTAATGTAGTGTTCAAATTTTGAAGATATTAAGTTATGATCTAACAAATATCTTTTTTGTTGTTAAATTCTGTGCAGTTCCAAATGTGGACCAACATGGGATCTCACGTGTTATATAGAAAACTTCTGCATTGCTCAATTGCTGAAGTTGGGTTTGGTGGTAGTTCTCTTGTACTTTGGAAAGTATTCATGCATTCTTGTACCATATACATAGTTGTATTGTTTTTTTCTATTTTTAGAGCTTTCTTGGATGTATTGCTGTTGGAGAATTGGAAGGAAATTTTTTACAGAATAAACAAAAGAATTGAAATTTGGACAGAATAGTGTCTTTCAATTTCTTCCTTTGTTGATGATATAGTCGATTATGTCTAAATTTCTTTTGTTGAATACGAAACATGTACACTGATATTTTTGTTTCTTAATGTGAGTTTGTAGATGAGGGTTTGTGCTTTTACATAAACATGACATGCATCGCAAAATCAAGGTAGTGATTGGAATACTATGCCTTTCAATGCATAAGAAGAAACATCTGGTGTGAAAATGAAAAATCTTGGATTCATTATACTGTTTAAGTAATGAGTGTGGCTTCTATGACTTATCCTTTATTACTT